CTGAATGCTACTAGTGCATTACCCACCCAAGCAGAGACTCAATCTCCAGAAGACATTCCTACTCTCCCAACTTCTTCACCTTTACCCCTACAACCTTCTTCATCAAACACCCCAACCTCCTTTATTACCTTACAGCCTTATTCTCCATCTCCGTAATACTACCCCTTCAACAACACTCCCACTTCCACACGCCCGTCCTTCTACTACCACCAACCCTACAAATATCTTAACTACTTTATTTTGCCCAGCTAAATGGGACGATTTTTCGTGATTCTCCCCTACAGCTCCCTATCAACACACTTCTCTTTCAACAATGTCTCCAAAAACATGTAGGCAGAGTCCCTTTCCGTACCCGACGCGATCGCTCCTGTTTCGTAATAGATCTAAAGCTAAAGTTATAGCATTATCAAAACTAACTGATCTCTCTCCGGCTGCCTCAGAGACCAGGACATGTCAGTACATTGCTACTCCATTTCTGCTAGAGGTCATCGAAAGAAACCCACAAACATTGCTAAAATTACTTGCAATTGTAATTGCCCGTTGTCGTGAGGAGGCTTAGGATACGAGGAGTGAGACCAATGCAGGGATCTCCCCTGCCTAGGGCCTCAGCCCTCGACTCAACTAATTTTGCATGGTCTTCCCCCTCCATCTTTTTGTTTCCGTCCCTTCTCCAACCCCCTTTACCATCTACTTTTAAGGTGTAAGACGTGTTGAAAGGGTGAAAGGCTAACCTTTGTGACAGTCCTGAACGGCCTGCGGGAACCATGGGCACGGTACTCCCGATTTAATTGTCTAGCCCTTATCTTCAAGTGCAAGAAGGAATAAAGTGGTACTAAGCACACTTCCTTATGGGACGCCTTCGAACTAAGGAAAGGACGATGACGTGGAAGAGGCAATTTTGACCTGGAAAGTACGTTTCGAAAGGAAAGACACCATGTTTCCACGTAAAACCTAGGGAGGACAATTGTTGGAGAATATGGTACCGCCATGTGGTACCATATGCATTTTCAAGAGCAAAGAAAATGGATTCATGGCGTGCAAATGCAGATTGTAATATATGTTTCGAAATGGGCAAGTGGGTCTGTTGTACTTCGGGCACGGCAGTAACGCGTCTGGGAGGGAGAAAGGAGATTGAGATTCAAGATACCACATTAAGCGGAAGTTAACCACCATTCGTTCTAGTAGCTTACATAAGCAGCTAGTTGTTAGCAATGGGGCGGTAATCTTGGGATAGGGTACCTGATTTATTGGTTTTAAGAAAGGTAGGATAAGAGCTTCTCTCCAATGAGAAGGAAAATTTCCTGATGTCCATATGTGGTTGAAAATAGTTAAGGAAGGATAGAGAGGAAGATGGGAGGTGTCGAAGCATACGATGGTGAATACCGTCAAGGCCTTCATGAGTGTTGCGACACGACTGTAATGCAGCGTTGAGTTCAGAAGAAAAGGAGCATTATAGGACTCATCAGGGGATAGGGTGAAGGTAATAGGGATGCGTTCCTTGATGGCTTTAATGGAAGAAAGGTGGGGAAAGGTGAGAGCCACTACTGACCTGGCTGAAATAGTCGCCCAGTTCATTAGCTACTTCCCCTATAAGTATAGACGAGACATAAAGGAAGTGTGAGGAAGAGATAAAATGGTAATTCGGAATTGGAATAGGAGGATGTGTGAGGAAAGTCTCTTGGAGGCAGATAATGGATGATTATAAGAAGCATGATGACGAAGGTCTGGTCTGTGAGAACGGAAACCGCGAATATTCCAATGTAGGAGAGCTATAACTTATGAGTGACATCACATACGGTACGTACTGGGGAATCTGGGGGGGGGGGAGGCTAGGGGGAATGAAGGAGGGGTATCAGGAGGTGGGGGATCTGGGGAAGGGCATTGTTGTGACGAGTGATTCCCGTGTGTATCCGGGAGGGAGTGGAAAGGATAGAGGGGATGGAGGGAGAGAGAATGTGCGTATAGTTGGGGTTTGAGGGGTTGGGTTGTGTTGGGAGGGAGTAGGAGGAAGTGGTGTGGGGGAGTATTAGTGGTAGGAGGATGGATAGTTGGAGTTGAAGGGGATGTGTTGTCTTGGGATGCATTACGAGGAAGGGGTCTAGGGGTGCTATGAGTAAGAGGGGATGGGTATCGGGAGGATGGATATCAAGAGGATGGCTATCGGTGGTGGACGGAATTGAGAAGGTTAGGTTGTGTTGAGAGGGATAGGAGGAAGGGTGTAGGGGAATATGAGTAGGCAGGGGTATGGACATCGGCAATCTTCAAGTGTGAAGAGCATGGGTTATGGAATTTTGTATCTCGAGCATATAGCTTTGAAATCTTCCATAGTTTCTGCAGTGGAGTTGGTTGGAGAGTTTTGTGAGACAAAGGTTTTCTTATGAAAGGGGGGGGGGAAACTGGTGTCTGAGGTAGGTGGAGGCGAGTGTGCGGTAGGGGAAGAAGGGGTGGAACGTTTAGTCTGCTGCGGGTAGTGCAGGGAGAGAGGGGATGGTATTGGGGCTGTGGTTGAGATTGGGGTGTCTGGATTTAGAGTGGCAAAAGAATTTGAGTGGGGGAGGTAGAATGTAGAAATGGAAGTGGGGAAGTAAGCAGGTATAGGGGAGGGTGTAGGAACATCTTGGGGAGGAAGGGGGGCAGAGCGAGCGATATTACTAGAGTAGGGAGTATGAAAAGAAACCTTGTCGACGTGCTTCCTGTCTGGCTTCACGTAAAGTGAGACCATTTTTGTATCTGAGAGCTGCTACCTCAGATCAAACTTGTTGGGGCAGCGTCTCTAGAATACATTATGGGGGCCGCCGTAGTTAGCACATGTACGTGTTTGTGCAGAGCAGTTTGATCGGTTATGACCGGGCTGGGCGCACAGAGGGCATAGGGCTGTGGAACGGCAGTGTTTGGCAGGATGTCCAAAGCGCCAACAGTTTTGACATTATGGAGGGGGTTGGTATGGTCGAACAGGGAGGGATTGGCCACCAATATAGATACGTAAGGGAAGGTCATGTGTACGGAAAGTAATTTTGGCAATGTTGATCGGATTCTTTCGTTGACCTCTGTTGGAGGTGTGTAGCAATGTACTGATTACACATCTTGGTCTTTGAGGCATCCTAATAAGTCTTCTCCACAGTCTGACCAATCTTTGGTATCGACAGGCAGTTTGCTGGGGAGAGAGACAGTTCCGGCACAAGTATTAAGGTTGGATGAGGTTCTGCAGGAATGGGGTTGCCAGAATGATCAGTTAGATATGATTGTGCTATAGATTTAGTTTCTGATCTGACTTACGAGACGGGAGCGATCGCGTCTGGTATAGAAAGAGACTCTGCCCACTTATTTTTGGAGGCATTGTTGAAAGAGAATAGTGTTGCCTGAGTAAGGAGCTGTAGAAGGGATCACGAAAAATCGGTCCCATTTAGCTGGCGTAAACAGAGTATTTAAGATATCTGTAGGGTTTGGTGGTGGATGGTCGGGGACGTGTGGAAGAGGGAGTATTACGGAGTGATGGCGAATAAGGCTGTAAGGTAGTAATAAGGGAGGATGGGGTGCTTGGTGAAGGCTGTGGGGGAAGAGTTGATGAATTTGAGGAAGTTGGGAGGGTAGGAATGTCTTCTGGAGATTGAGTTCTCTGCTTGGGTGGGCAACACACTAGTAGGATTGAGAAAGTGGGTCGTAGATTCAGTGTTGGAGTCGTGGTCAAAGGAGAGCTACCGGGGAGCCGGTGGGGCTATTTGATGAAGGGGCAAGCCTCATTGCCCCTAATAAGGGCATTACATCTTCATTACTGGCCATGGGAAGCCTTGATTATGTAAAGGGAGATAATCAGTCCACCCCAGTGCCCTGTAGGGGTAAGGGCTAGACAATAAATCAGGGGAGTACCGTGCCCATGGTTCAGGACTGGCACAAGGTGAGCCTTTCATCCTTTCAGCACGGCTCTTACACCTTAGGGTGCGTGCACAGAGAAGGCAGGTTTGCCCCGTCGGCTACCAGCGCCGACCCGCGCCAAGAATTCAACCATAAACAAGTGTAAGCCTGCACAGCCCACTTCAACCCGCTTTCCTGTTAGCTCGGATCATTCTTGCCTGCTCTACCCGCGCGAGCGGACGCTATTGGATGGAGAGCAGGATGTATGTTGAGCTCCTGTTAGCCAAAGATTATGAGACGGCCAGTGTGGAACAAATGGAAGAAGCACCACACCAACAGGAATGGGGCGGATAAGCTGTGAGCTGAAATCAGAAAAATTCTAGAATGAAATACAGCATTCGCGAAAGTCATTTCATGAACATAGTTTCTCGTGTCTCAAAGAATATTGATAAACGTATACTTTTTTAAATTAGCATTCTACTTTCCATCATTTAGTTCCTTCAAGTGGCTGTCACACTACAGTGAGTTTGAACTGTTTACCCGCGTCCTCTGTGAACACCTTATCGCGCTGGTAACCTACTTTCTCTGTGCACGCACCCTTAGGAAGTAGATAGTAGAAGGGGTTGGAGAAGGGACGGAAACAAAAGGCTGGAGGGGGAAAAGACCATGCAAAATTAGTTGAGTCGAGGGCTGAGGCCCTAGGCAGGGGAGATCCCTGCATTGGGTTTCAGTCTCCTCTCCTAAGACCCCCCCCCCCCCCCCCACACACACACACGACAACAACGGGCAAGGGATTGGGGGGTGCAGAGGAGGAAGCAGTAGAGGATGGGAGAAAGAGGGGGGGGTGTGGAGTAAGGTAACACTGTGGGGAGGACATCACTGGTGAATAAGGGAGGGGACTGTGTAATAACAGATGGAGTGGAGGATATTGAGAGAGAGAGAGGAAGGGGTATATCCTAAAGGTTAAGCAATGGCTTGGATGAATGTTTTGGAATAGACAGAGTTGACAGCAAACATGCTTTTGAAGAAATAACATTTACTTAGCCATTACTTGTTTCCTGTTACTTAACTGCAGTATATTCCCTCTAAATCCGTTCAAGAAAATTTGACAAGACAATAGCTAATGAAAGGATTTAATTAAACACACATACTATACATTTACTTTATTTTCATGAGATGATGGGCATTAAAGTCCTTGAAGTGTTTCATGGAGTCTTTTATTGAGCAGATTTTAGGTATCTGTACATGGTATAAATCACTTGTGTGTTCTAGCTCCTCCAGAGCTCCAGAGATGACAACTTTAATCCTTGTTCGTCCAAAATAAAAATTTTGCTTACTTTTAGACAATATATTATCCCAAATTAATACAACACATGTGAATATTTCTAAATTACATCCAGTGGATTTCAGTGCTGCATACTTTCTTTTTCTGATATTTCAAAATTCACACACACACACATGCAGTCAGTATGCTCAAACGTACCCACAAACAAACAAATAAAGAAAAAGAAAGCTATTAATGTCTGGAAAACGACACATCATTATTTCAATATACATTTCTTAAAATAAACTCAAATGCTTTCACTGGAATACTTGAAATCATTTTACAATTTTTGTTTTTATGTTTTACTTTCTTCTGAATCCATATTTGACAACTTAAAATTCTATATTATTAATAAAATGAGCAAACATTTACTGCATATACAGTACTATAGTAAATTATTTTTTTCAGTGTTTAATATTTTGAAACACATGAGTGCAAAGAAAGTTACAGTATTCACACAAATTACCCACATAAAACAGATAAAAAGAAGAAAATCTCTCATTCTCAAATGTACACAAAATGGGACAGCTGCCAAGTGAAACCACAATATGCCCTACAAGCAAATGGTTCTGCTTCCTGTGATAAAACATAAATTCCCTTTATATCTAACGGTATTATGATTCACTGCTTTATTCGGTACTGAATGACGTGCATCTCCTAACCGAGGCCATTCTCCCAATCAAAACTTCAAAACTTATTCATTCACAGCTGATGACAGATACATGCCAGGCACTTCAGAGAGAATTTGTTACTTGGAGTTTAGTTCTGACTGTCACTAGACTCCATAATACCAGAATTTTTCATGCAGTTGAGCAGATCGCCATTTCTTTGATGAAACAGATCACCATTTCTTTGATGAAACAGATGTTGACGAACTTAATGCTAAACAACGTTAACTTACTCTAGCATCTGATTACATGTACAATGTGGGACCAACAGTGAACATTAACCCTCTGAATGTGATGTATAAATATTTACTATGGGACAGGAAGGGAAAACAATCTACACAACATTCGAAGGGTTGCTCTTTCTGGTCTCACCAAGACATAGCACTGGACAAGTCAAATACATTCAAATTTGTCCTATATGGTTAAATAAAATATCTAGAATATGTACATAATGATTCTTTATCTTTAATATAACATAAAAAAGCTAGTAACAAAGTAAAATAATGAGGAAATCAAACCTAGTGATCAAAATGTGAATTTCCACCAAGAAATACCATTTCAAAAAGAATGTAAAAAAGGCAAACTGATGAAAGATTCAAAACAGCACAAAAGGCTAAGGATGTTGCCCCCATTCCGATGTCTACACTTGTCAAGTGGAGTACTAAATGTTGTTTCCTTGCTAAAAGCACAATCAACTACCTCTTCGTATGGTGCAAATTATCTCTAAACACTTACGTACACAATAGTTAATCTCTTTCTTCACAAACTAAACTATTCTGCTGTGCTGCTGACAGGACCACATATTTCTTTAAAGGATCCTTATAAGAAAATGCCTCAATTTTATCTCAAAATGTTTCTTTTAACCTCAGACCACTTTCAAATGGGACACTATGTTTTGCAAGGTTATTTTCCATAGATCTTACCCTTAAGTTAGGCCAATAATGACAAGAAATACTAGAGGATCCCACTTTGCAATATGATTTCCTGCTTCAGTAGTTACAGTGAAGTGCACATACTTACACTTACTTACCACTGGACTTCAATAACAGCATTTACATGAATCACACTATTCTGGCACCAACTAGATATATTGTGAGGGGCCTATAGAAAGAACCCCTCCAAAATACTGCTAAACTGAATCCATTGTTTTTTTTAAGTTGTACTCCAACAGAAAAATAAATATTAATTCTTTCCCTACCTACAGTACCTGTGTGTACATGTCTCTGTGTTAGTATACATGTGTGTGTGTTTGCGTCTTTGGCGTGTATCTCAATTGTGTTTTCTGTTTTTCTGCTCAAAAGTGGCACTTAAAAAATGCTACAGGACATAGTGATCTTGGCTCATGCATAAGCAACAGGTGAAAGAGCACCTGCATGTGCCAGCTGATAGCCTGCAAAAGGTTTTCTCATAGTTCGTCATCTTCTAATGGAGCTCAAACAAAGGACTCCAAGCAATAGAGTTTGAGAACATGATGTAAAGAGGTCAAACACAAATTTTCCAGAATATCCATGACACAATAACAGAGACAGCCTCAAGGCCTACCAACTACAGAACATAAAAATAAAATAATAGTATGAAGTAAATGAGTTTACCTGACTCCTTGGGTTTTACTGGTCAACATTTCCTAATGCACTTTTGATCGTTCAAGTTTTCTACTTTAAAGCTAATCTAGCATGGACTATGCTTAACACAGTCACCTCAACATCAACATTCTTGCACCCTTGGAGACATCTGTTAAGTGAAATGGGTTAAGCAGACCTGGATATTACACAAGAGAGACAACCAAAGCTTGAGGAGAGTGTTGAAACTCAATTCCACCTCAGCTGGTTACAATAGAATGACCCATTATGATTCATATATCATATATGACTTACACTTATTGGCATAGTAGTAGTAGAGCTGACGTTACTCTGGGCATGTAGTTCACTCCCACGAAAAGACAAATACTACAGACAACACTGGCATAAAAAAGTAATGCTTATTGGAAAATGATAAAAAATATATATATAATAAAAAAAAAGGAAACAGCAATAATAAATCATTTGAATCATAATAAATCTAGTAAGAGTAATACATCATAATAAACCATAATGAATGATGGTAGTTCTACAGAAATAAGTTCTTACTAAAATAAATAAAGAAGGTTGTTAGAACATCTTAGTGATTAGGTAACAGCGTGGGCCTACACCATGCCATCAACACTATGTACATAATAATTGGAATAAAACAAGTGCTATGTACATTCGATATATATGCATCATTACCAGGACACATTTAGAGCACAAGTCTCTGTTACCTGTGGTTGCGTAGTCCTAATGAAAAACAATCCTTGGTAACTTTCCTCCCTCTCTTCTCTCTTTCGCTGCCCCATAGAACGGGGCTCATTTGCCTCTCCTGAATTGCATTGTGTCTCCAAACATTACCGCACTCACATTTCTCTCCTTTTCACCAACAAATATATATCTACAAAACAAATAAACTGTCTGGTGCATATCTGGCCTTGCTAAATATACATTAGTCTGTAGAAGACTTAAAACTAACATTACTCAGAATTAACAATAACCTTATATAACCATAATACATAAACAGTGTGGGTGTGTGTGGGTGTAGGCATGTATTTTTTCACATGTAAATATGATGTATGATGTCTTGTTCAATCTTTCAGGAACTCAGAATTCAAAAGTTCACATAAAATAATGAAGTGTAATGTTGGAAATATCATGATATTCAACATTTTTTTGTTGTTGAAAATTTCTCTACAAAACATAACACTGACAAAGGTGACAAACTCCTGAAAGGCTATGATCCATTCTCAGCTGTCAGTTGGACTCTCCAGATAGCAGCATCTGTCTGAATAAAGCTACCTCTGGGTTCATCCACCTCAATGACACAAATCCACGTTCATCCAAGAGACAATATGCTCGTAGTGCTAAATCACTGCTACACATTACCATATGGACTAAAAAGACCTGTTGGACAGGGATGGGGCTCATGACCCTCTTTTGGCAAAGGTTATGTGAGGTATGAATTTACTGTTGCTGTGAGTGTTGGAGACCAGTCCTCCAGCCTGTGGCGGCAGGCCAGTCAGGGAGCAGCTGCTGTGCTTGGTAATGTTATGCTACAGGTCTTTACACAGAAATGTTACAAGTTGGATCTACCAAAATGGGTATACATGATGGCTTAGCAGAGTTCCACATAATTCGCAGGATAGAGACCGATCCGCCCATCCTTGCGTCCGGTGCACCATCCCTGCTCATCCTCATCCTCTAGCTTCTCAAAGGTCTCCCCTGGAAGGAAAGGAGAGAAGAAAGGAAATATAGCAAATCACAATTATGAGCTTCAATCACATCTAAACGATTAATGATTTTTTTTGAGTCTGTAATCTTGCACTTTTGACTAATGGTTTCCAAGGAGAGAAAATTTACTGAATATATATCTCAATACTTAAAAAGAGTATCAACTGTTTCAAAGCCCATAACCAATATCAAATATTTGGTCCCTTTCAGGTCTTGCCAAAGAAATATACATGCAATACCACACTGAGGGAAAGGGAGAGAGTGGAAGGGCGCGAAGAGAGGGTAAGTCCTGTTGGTCACTGGACCAAAAATTAAACTTGGACCTGCAAAAACATCCCCTAAAATCCCCCCTCCTGGAACAAGTCCCATCGTATTGGAAGAACCTACTGCTAACTCACCGACTTTGAAAGAGAGTTCGTCTGACTCAACACCTTCGTAGTCATAGAGTGCTCGCACTGGCACTCCAGGTTTGTTGGGATCAACCATGCGGTCACTGTAGTCCCACTCATCATCATCTCCACTCACTCCATTGCTGTAAAAAGGGGATGGAAAGATACATAAAGAGAGCACAAAACAGCTGCATGTTTTTGTCTTTCGGTTTTGCATTGCTTGACCATCACCTGTACGGGACTAGGAGATGGTCCCACATGCAAGCTTATTATCCAAGTTCTCATCAAATTCACAAAAAGCCATGGTTCACTGTGAGTGTTAGAAAGCTCATAAAGCTGAAATATCTGTTCTTTATTTATCTAGAAAATAGCTTTTTTGAGATTCAGCATGCAAGAGCTGTCAGAAAGGCTGTAGTCTTCTTAGAGAACACTGATCACTCTCCTTTACATATAATATCTATATTTCCCCACTATACACTTTGTACACACTGTGTAAATGTATTAAAAGTTATGCATGTGAATGAGTTTAGTAAATTATGTCTTGAATGTATGTTAAACCCTATTTTGATAGTGTGCAGCCCATCCATGAATGAATTCTTCCTGTGTCTGTACCTTCCTTCTTCCCACCACTTGTACTCTGTTACAATCCTTATAAAAAAACAAAAAGCAGATGCGTAAATCAAAACTTGTACTCCTATGCATGCCTGTGATTCCTACCTGCACTCCTTACAAAATCATAATTCAGAATGTACAAAGTTGTTCCATTCCCTCCCCCCCCCATCTTTGTGTTTATAATCAACATATATCTGCTTGTCGTAAATGAATATAAACCACAGAATTGAAAAGACCATGAACAAAGGTTAATATTTAGAATAATTTACTTATCTACAAGTTAGTTCCATTTCATATTTGAATATTTATTTGATAATATGTAGTTACACACTTCACAAACTTCAAACAAAAGTTTGTTATAAATCAGAGCAAAAAAAGTAAAAAATTAATGAATGATCACATCGATAATAATGTACACATAAACCAATTATGGCATTTAAAGAGATTATAAAACAACCATCACAGCTTAAATAGAGTAACGCAACAATAAAGCTAATGCTGTTGACATGCCAAGAGCTGCAACTGGTAGAAAGGCTCAGCAGACACAGACTAAGTACACATTAAAACTTTGACCAGACATCTCATGCATATCATTTCATATCAGATGTGTTATATTCTAATATTTCTAACTGTAAAATGCAGACCTAAACAACCTCCTTTTATCAACACACTAAAAATTTGATGGCGGAAAACAAAATCTAAAAGTTGGTATTATCACGTTTGTTCTTGGCTGGTGGTGTTAACAGTGCTCTAGGCTTTTGCCTTTCTGCTAGGCATGGCTGTTCTGTCAGATCATTTCCATCATAAAATGGTGTTAATAAAAATTCAAGACCAGACCACTTCTATATCATGTGACTAAAAATGACAGTAGTAACAATTGCAGAAAATAATGATCAACAGTGCTTCTTGCGTCTGACATGCAACTTCGAAGTTAAGGATTAGAGGCAGAATACATCAATGATTATATAGCACATCACTGACCCTAAAACTGCCAGTGTAATCTTTTAGTTGCAAATTGTAAGGTATGCAAGGTGTTAGAAATGCCGAGATAAGAAAGCTTAAAGCTGAGTCATGCAACCCCAAGGGACAACACCATACTTGTACACATAACTTTTCCATGCAAATTTATTATCTATTTTAAACAATTAAAAGTGCAAATTCTGAGCAGATATCCTTTAAAAGGGATGCTTTTCATGCATGTGGAATATGTAAACCCTACAGGAAAAAGAGAAGAAAAATGACTACAAATGAGTAATGACGAAGAAACAAAGATAAAAAGATTAAACTGTGCATTCAGTACATATATGGTCCTGCCTGGGTTGGCATGAAAGGACTCATCACAATCCTTCAAGTCTCCAAAACGACAGACAAGAAGGGATCTGTGTTCAACGAGGAGACCGTCAAAAAGAGAAGCTATGGAGATAATCCGGATTGTGTTGAGTGCCAGCATCCAACCTCATGCCAGAATATATCCCTCACTTTTGACTGTGTGGATCGTCCTCCTCATCGAAAGGATTGGACGCTTCGTGGGACTCCTGTGGGTCGCTGGAGTGTTGGGGAGAGAGGGAGGGTCAGTAAGGGTGAACTGTGACACAAATATTTGTGGTGAACTACACTCACTGCAAGATCCCCATGTAGAAAGTACCTGTATAAAGCAATACGACAAAGTAGCACACTCTGATTACACTAAAGCATCCTTTACAAGACAGACCTCAAGAAAAAGCTGGTATCTCACTACATCACGGCTTCTCTACTAGCATATATTATTTGCTTACCAAGACTTGCTACTGTATTGCCTACCATGGTATATACTACAACATAAAATTTCTGTTGAAAATATTCTTGAATGTGACTCTTTAAGGTCATTCTTCAGTGTGACAAAAGGAGACATGTACTGCACTGAATCTAGCCATACAAGTTAGTACTTCAACAGCATTATTCTGTAAGTCACACCATGAGATTTGAAAGGGGAAGGAGCAAGGAGGAAAAAGAAAAGAAAGAAAGAAAGAAAACAAAAAATAGAATGAACCAATGTTCCTGCAAGTTCTGCATGTTCAGCAACCAATCCAACTTCAGCCCCAGAAAACAGAATGAACATCTCCAAGGTCCTAATTAGAGAGGATTCTTCTCCAGGTGTGCCTCAAAACCCAGAATCTTCAAAGGACTGTCTAAGATTGCTTAGTACCCAAATCACTTATGAAATATACCTCTTGGTTTCCAAAAACCTTGGAACGTACACAAAATATTTATTTTCCTATGACAGATTTTCCCTCTTTTTTTTCCAAAGTACAGAAAACAATCAGGTTGACATATTTCTGACCTTTTGCAAAATTCCTCCTTTCAGTTTTCTGATCTGAATGATTGGGAAATAGACTGAAAATATAAGCACGTCAGATCACTTTTCTCTTTGATCTGTTATGATACATATTCTCAGATTTATCTTTACTTTTTCATATCATATTTCCATTAGTTATTAACTTTTCTCTCTCAATGCATACATAGATTTTGGCCTCACAATAACAATACAAGAAAGCAAACAAAAACAAACCCAGATGTAACAGAAACTTAACATCTGTTTTGCTTTAATTCAATAAGTACATATAGAGGGGTACTTCTTGTTTACCTGAAACCTTTCTATCATTTTAATACTATTATCATTTCACAGAAACATCTCTAATTAATGTAACTGAATCAAAATCTATAACAGAAGTGGATAGCCATAAGGATCATGATGTGTTGTGTACTGGCAAGGAGAGTAAGGATCACTCAAGGCAGCAAAAGGGAACCACTCATTTCAAACTCTGCAGGAATCCTTTGGGCCAGGATGCAAGATGGAAAACGCAAATATTCTCACTCCAACATCTCTGCAGAAACTTTCCTTCTAGGAAAGCTACCAAGCCTCTGGTTTATGGGTTGCAGCCTCTGATCAGAGGCAATCAACTAAGCTTTGTGAAGAAATACTCACTTGACACTCCATGCAAGGGAAAAGCAGTCGCAACAAATAAGTAATTCAGTGGAGACCAAATGTGACAAAGTGATGGTCATCATTCCCAACAATACACTTTACAGCTGACTGGCCCAGCTCCTGCCTGTGCTTTACCTTTCCTATGCAACAATAACCAGCAAATCCCAATTATGTACAAATGTCTCCAAGATCACTTGAAATGAAGCAACAATCACAGAATAACAGACATGCACATTTCTCAATACACGTTTCTCAAGTCATCAACAAGCAGTTTCCTATTTTAAGTATACAGTTTGAGTTTATGCATTTTCTGGATATCAAAGGCCAACTGAGCCTAGAAACTGCTGGTTTAATTGGAAAATATACATCAGAATCAAGAAGATAGGATCACCCTCAATGTAAAAGCTTATTTTTTGCAAGTAATGGTCGAAAGAGAGGACACACAACAGAATGGAGGAGAGATGGGAGAGGGGTGGAGGGAAGAGTGAGGGAGGAGGGAAAGAGGGAAAGAAGAAAAGAGAGGGAAGGGAAGGGAAGGGAAGGGAAATGAGAGAGAGAGAGA